GAATGCCAATGAAACTATGTTTGGTCCCTCCCGATAGCTAATTTCGAATGGAATTCTGCGTCGTGATTGATAAAATTAACTGAGTGCACACGTAAGCTATTCAATATTTGTATCAATTATTCGCCCGATTGTTACGTTTATTGCTCCTTTTTATGTTGTTTTTAGTCATTTACGTGACACTCCAAGTTAAATGCCGGTTATTGGGCGATTTATAACCAGGAGATCGAAGCTCACGGCTGTAAGCGGCCTGTTTACATGCCGCTTACAGCCGTGAGAAAGTTTATCACTTCCCGCTGTTACCACTTTTTTTTGCAAAACTTTTTGCAGTACTTTTTGTAAAACCCTACAAAAGACCCTACGCGTGTCTCTACATTTATAAGAATGCCTAGATCTCCAAAACAACGCGCGACTACTTGGCTCTGGAATCACTACAGTTTCGTTTTCTAACCGCGTGTATGAAATGTCCATTCAATTTGACTTTTTTTATAACTTCTCTGCTAATGCAGCGAGAGGAAAAAAGCATTGTCAACCAGAATTTTAGCGAGAAGTTATAAGTAAACGAGAGCAGTTGAGAAAAAGACAAAAACTACATAGATGGCGCATCTTCATCAATTTACTTATTTGTTTTGTTTATGGGTTAAAAAGTGTATATATATATATATATATATATATATATATATATATTAGCGTGGGTCATATGCGTAGTATTCAATTCATTATATACTTTCTGAAGATTGTTCTATTTCATTTTCTTTTCATCTTTCTTCTCACGTAGAGTTGGATTCTGGAATTACATTTGGACGAATAATGTATGACTGCTTATAACGTTGGATCGATATTTTCTCTTGGAGATTTCATTATTTTATTGCCTAATTTTTTGGCATCATAATTGTTGTATAGTTCCGCTGTTGAATCCCATCTCAATGAGTTCCCAGTATCTATAAATAATTTGTACACAATAATTTGTTAAGCGCTCGTAACTTACACTATTAAAGCAGTATGTGTATATGTAACTGAAAAAAATAATGCAGGCACGGGTATTGTCTATAAACTATCAAATTTTGATTGCACACTCGCAATGCTAGCTCAGTGTACACGTCACCAAGAAACTAATACGGTGGAAAGCTATGCGAGTTGGTGGCGCACGTTAACAACAAAAATAAACAACGCAAAAAAAAACACGAAAACAAAACGAAGGACAAAGATTTTAGCGTGGATCTTACGCTAGTATTCAATGCATTATATATCTTGAAACTTGTTCTATTTCACTATTTCTTTTGTTTTTCTTCTTACGTACAGTCGAATCCTGGAATTATTTTCGGATCATTAATGTATGACTACGTATCATGTTGCATGACTCCGTATAATGTTGTGTCACACTTCATGAAGACAGTAGATCGGGGTCTTTTTAACACGAGAAAAGAAGGAAAGTTAACACACACACACGGCAACGCGGTTCACCACATTATTTCCGCTTTCAAGCTGCGCCAAATATTCGGCTGGCAGCCGATGCCATGATAGCATCTTTTTATCATTTTAGATCGCGTTTTAAGCTATAAGCTTGCGTAGAAGACTCTTCAGTTTTAGCGCTGTGTCTTAAAGTAGTGACACGACTTCGTAAGAGCTTTGGGGAGAACGTGATACCGAGTTTGGTGATACAAGTGTTGGGTAAAGTACAGCTGAAGAGTGATTCAAGTGAACTACAGTAAATGAGAGGTTATCCGCTTCGAGTAAAGCAGTAAGTACCCTGGGTGCAATGCAGTTGAAGTGACGTACTATAAATGTATTGTACTTTCAAAGTAAAGCACACAATTTTTTATGATGTCCTTTCATTCCCCTATACTGATTTTTTTACTGTTATGCATTGCCTCACGTGTGCATGACCTATTTTCGGATACGGAGGCGAATATTGAATAAATTCAAGTGACCAAAGAGTAGTTATTTTCAGAAATGGCGCAAAATTCAGAAGTCCCTCCGATTTCTGAATTTGGCGCCGCTTGCACTGGCTTATTGCACTCAATGGGGTTAAATGTACTAGGCGAAAGCATGACGTCAGCCCCGTCAATTCCGCAAGCAATCCTCTCGTAGAGAAGTGTCCACTCCTTAAAGAAGAAAAATAAAACACTGAGTGCGCAGGTGAGCTGCTGATAATTAATCATAATACGACACCTGAGATCGTGGTGCGAAATATTTAAGGCACTTTTAAGTCGAACAAAAAGACAAAAGAGAACGTCTCAAACCGTTGTGACGTTCTCCTCTGTTGTATTTTTCTTCGACTAGAAAGTTTACTTTCTCCGCGCAATAGTCTCAGGTGCTACATTATGATTAATTTTTCTCTCTTCATATTTTTAACCTCCTCGTTAGCACTGGCAGAGCGAGGAGTAGCGAGAGTTCAAAAAGCTACGGGAAAGTCGCCCCCAGAGCAAACGGAGCGATGCGTCGTCTGCTCGCGTTTCTGGAGAGAGTAAAATATCCCTCCCACTATTTCTTCAGAGTTGACAAAACATAATTTTGTAATACAAATTTAGCAAAACAAAATGCGAGGAAGGTACTTTGAAGTCGGGAGTTGTACTTTTTTTAGAAAGTACCAGATTAAAAAAAAAATACTTTAAGTGAAGTACAAGTACATGCTCAGAGAAGGTACATCAAGTGAAGTACAAGCACATGCTCAGAGAATTTACTTCAAGTGAATTACAAGGTTCCTAAACCTACTTGAAGTAGTGCTTTAAGTACGATGAACTTAAAGTGCTTCCCAACGCTGGGTGGTACTATCTAACAAATCTGTGGTGTGTCTAATCATCTGGATCAAAAAGTGCGCTAAGACAGCTTCGGCGTGTAAAATATCTGAAGATTCAAAAAGAAATTGGAAAGAAACTCTTAAAGCCTCCACGTTTTCCAGTAAAAACAACTGGGCGACCCTACCAGACTAAAATATTTCTAAAGGTCACCACGTTTAGGGACGTGTCCCCAGAGTAAACAAACGAATGATTTTAAAAAGAGCACTGCGCTTCATTGCGAATGTTCCTTGTGACACTCATGCAGAAACGTTTTCTTTCAGTCGCAATGAATGTTGGCAGTGTCTATGACCATCGTTTATTATGTTTGTATTTATTCTTAAACGCGGAGTGTAATGCTTACTTGTCTCATCATTCAGACTTGACTAAACTCAAATCTATATTAAGCATCCGACGCCAGGAATTTCGGATTGTTCACCATTTTCGTATAAATTATGAACTTAAGTTCCTTGTTCATAACTTGCTCACATTGCCTAACAACTTCGTCTTTGATCAAATTAATATTCATTGTTTAAGTAAAAAACAGTGTGAACTTTTTTTTTGTTTTGGAAATAGTGATGATCTATTTTATTACTCTATTTTGTTCTGTACATGCAGTGACACCGAACCTAGTCAAGCTTCCAGTTGGAGGTTTTTTTGTCCAGTGTCCCTGGTACAAACATGTCTAACAAAGTTCAAAGTTCTGAGTAGGTAGCACTGATTATTACCTGCTAACAAACGAGGGAGGGGGGGTGGGGGGGGGGGGGCAGTGAAACTTTGCAAGCATCACGCTTTCCCAGACGAGTTATTGGTAAACACCGACCGTGCAACTCAAAGTAGACCGTCCCCGAAAGGGCGATGGTGCTCACAGACAGTCAGAGTGAAAGACAGCAAGAACCCGCTGTTGTGATCGTTTTTACTTCTGTTTCTTGTGTCTTTGTTTCTCGCTTCGCAGAAGAAAATAAGAGGGCTATCAGGAGCTACATAAAAGAGAAAAAAAGTATATTGCTTGCTTTCTCTCCTTATATATAAAAAAAGCTGAAATTTAATTTTTTATTTTGTGTCCAATTTTTTTTTTTTTTCACATACAACCGGGAAAAGAGAACGGCGCTTCCGTCGGGCCACTTATATTGAGGATTTTAATAGACAGGAATGGAAAGGCCTTTTTTTCTTCATTTAAATGGCTTTTTACTTGAAGTGTTCCCTTTGTTCCGTTCCCTGAAATGGAAGGTTAGTTATAATTGTGTCGAAATATGTCACCATTGACCAGTTATCAGGCCCTTCGCTGAACGTAGAGCGCATTAATAACGAAAATATAAACGAAGCAACAGAGAAAAGAATCGAGGTATCCTTAGCAATACTTTAATATAAAATGATGCTCCCAGCTGATTAAAAAGAACACATAGCCCGCTTATTTTTGCCGTCAGCATCACCACAATGTGCCCGACAATACGTAACTTGCGTACAACGTATTATTAGCCACAGTGACCCCTAGTGAAATTGCTAGTGTGTAACTTGTAATACGGAGTCAATTTGTAAAAACGAGCGCAAAGTCAGTACAGTATCTGCGCTGAGTTAACAAAGAACTGCATATGTGAACAGGGATTAACTTCGATACAAAGTTACGGAATGTGTGTTTTGCTGCATTTCCGATCAACTCTGTCAGATTACCGTCTCACCCGAGTAATATCGCTGAATGTGGTAAGCAAGAACTATCCTGAAATAGCAGCATTCACGCATACGGTCGACGATATTAAGACGTTTTAACAAACATATCTCGAATATAAGTACGTATAACGCGTACACTAAGTAACTTGACACAAAATAATTCGTATCTATATATCAGAAAAATTGTGTAACCTACCAGAAAATGTTGGCAAATAGGTGTTCGATTACACCCAGACCCTAACAATTCAAGTTCAACGCGAGTTTCACCTCGGAAGCCCCAAGGACCGGACACCGTCCTCCACCCTTTCTGCCGGCGGCCGCGGCAGAGGGGCGGGCCAGCGGCCCAGTTTCGGCCACGGCAGCGACGCAACGGCAACATCAGCCAAGTGAGATCCCCTTCCTCGCACTCTCCCTCGCGCCGATGCTTTCTTTCCCTTTCGCTTTCGCCGCAGCGCACTCTTTTCCTCCCGGTCATAAGCCCCCTTCGCTGCCAGGGGAGGCCCCAGTGTGTCCTTGGATATTCGGCGGCCAGGTTGACTCCACACTGGAACAACCACGATGGACCACCGCCTGGTAACCCTGCTCCTGGTGCTCGCCGTCATCGGTGTCGGCGGAAGCGAGGACAGTGCCTCCGAGACGTCGACGACCTCGGAGTCTCCCCTTTCGGAGACCTCCACCGTGCAAGACATTGAGCCGATGGTGGCCGATGCCATGAATCAGGTCTTCAAGATGGGGCTACCGGTGTTCACGCAGTTCGGTTCGGACCCCGATGTGTCCGGGGAGTGCTCCGCGGCGCTCGTCAAGACCATGCTCGCACTGCGACGCATGGAGCCCTGGGCGATTCGCAGTGAGTGCATCACCTACCGTTTTTGAAAGGAATGGGTGAACGCGTAGACTAATATTTTAGTGCAGCAGACTACTGATACTACGATAACGTGACCATTAATAAAAACGATTTCTATTTTTTATAGATAAAACAATCTCATTTTCGATAAATTTTCAGAACCATGTTTTTTTTTACGCAAGATTTTGGGAGCGTGTGTCTTGATTGCCAACTTGTTGCTAGTCAACTCGTGCCTTCGTGAATGACTGGTAAAGGTTGTTGCACTTCCTATCAGAAATGTCACCCGTGACTAGCGAGCATTCACTACCTCCGTTTAGTTGTGCCATCCTACGAATGAGTCAACTGGGTATGTTTTAATGAACGGATGAGCCAACACCGGAAATTAAATTATTGTATATATTTACAATATTTTTTGCGGCCTTTTCTGCCCATAAAATTTAAGCCAAATTATTTTGAATGTGAATGTTTTAAACTTCTCTATTTCTCACCCATGCTCAACTTCACTTTTTTATGACTAAGGATATGCCTTCTCGCATGAAATGGACTAATATTTATTTACCAAAAGCTATATTGTAAAAAATTCCAATTCCCTTAAACACCGACGTACACTTCGCGCTTTCCACTTTTGCCCGCCTCCTCCTTTCCTGTATCCTGTCTAGTTTCCACCTTGTCCCAGCATGACTCCCGTTGCAGCTTAGGAGAGGAAGATCGATGAGAGGATAATCTCCCTTGTTGAAAACCAAGGTTGTACGTCGGCCTTTAAGATTTAGATGAGGTTCTGCACTTTAAAGGAGATTAAAGATTGCTCAGGATTCAAGAAATCAATTTAAGATTTCTCAGTTCAAACGTAAAAAGTTATTATGATATATCTTACGTTTCATAGTTTCTTATTTGCAGTAACCAAAGCAAGAGAACTGTATTGGCCAGTCACTTCTCACCTGAGACAAAAGGTCGCCATCCTATTGTTTACAACATCTGATGTTAAGACAATTCAGAGCTTTTTGTCATGTTGTTACGCATTTAATATATTGAAGAAGCTTCAGACATCTCCCAAAGAACCACTTTATACAATTTGACGGGCTATACGTAAGTTGTAGACTTTCCGGTTTTAACCGAAGAGCACCAATATGCATTCGTCGGTGTCAAAAATACAAAATCGGCTAAAACCGAAGAACGCTGATAAACAACTGTTCCTGTCCAAAACACAAACCTAATTAACACCCCAAAACACCGATTCCACACAGTTTTCACTCCAACTGGGACTGTTATTGTCTAAACCCTTCGCTGTTATGGTTGAATTTTGAGTTTTTCACGCAATTTTGTTACCGATAATTACCGTTCTTAACCTTCGTCTGAAAGAAATCACCAAAATACGCCGATATTATAAAAAATACACACCGAAAACCATCTGCCGATTTCCTTTATATATAAACACCGAAAAATCTACGACCTAGCTGTACGATACTTGTCCCGAATGTAAAAATTGTATTTATGCTGCAAGTAATTTTATCAAGCAAGCGAAACGGTTTAAGTTTGTGTCTTCTCAGTACCAAAGCTCTACAATAAAATTACAGCAGATTAAATGAGTAACAGACATAGTAAGTATTTACCTCTTGTTGATATGGTACTTTCTCAATCAAACTCAAAAAATATTTGAAGATATAGGCAGAGTGATTGCAATAAAATGTTTATAAATTACAGTGTGAGGTGCAGACAAAAGTAAACCAGAGATGAACATAAACAATACGACAGAAAAATAATTTAGAAAATCAACCAAAAGAAAAAAAAAGAACAAGCTCTGAAAGCCTAGAACCCAAGAAGTGAAATGTACAAAATCCAACCGCTGTAATGTGGATTGTTTAATATACTTATTCGCTATAATGTGTCCCCCTTAACTACAGCTATTCGTCATTTTTCTTTTCCAAATCTAAATGAGGACTGATCGAAATTTAACTTCCTGGGTATAAATCATGTAGAAGCTTGTTGCGCTGTACTCATCACACCACGAAAAAAGACTCGATACAGTCATATCTCGTTAACATAGACCCTGTAAATATGGATACCCCGCTATATGGGCACATTTTCGGGGACAAACTGAGAAAATGCATGCATTTTTGTTTCGTTATTGTGGACAACTTCCATTATGGACGAGTTTTTACGGGAACCGAGGTTTTCATATTAACGAGACATCACTGTGTCTCGAAATACCAAGCATAAGAAAGTAGGGACACTTTCGGCGAGCAAGCAACTAGTCGCCGACCTTCCGAAAGTCCTTGCTGTCAATATTCGATTCCTCGCACCACAAAATAGACTGGCTATACTAGCAGATCAGATAACAGAAAGTAGGGCCACCTTCACACGCCAGGACCTGACAGCATTCTTTCCAATCTCATCTTGTATACATTTAGAGCTTCGAAAGCAAGGAAAGAGGCCAGACATCAACCGCCCTTGAATAGTCACGTGCACGCATCGCCGGTGCTGATCCCATTCGAAAGAGCGCAGAACCCGAAGTTGCTCAACCCATCTCCCCCCTCGAGCTGTCATGCGGGACCATAGATGCGGGAGAGAGAGCGTCAATCTGATAACAATGCTGCATGGCCACCAAACTGCACAGAACAGTTCCTCAGTGACTCGTAGCGACTGAATTTTCCCTCAAACCCTGACTGTACGCATGACAGGCCATTGCCAAACTTTAGTCGATTATTATTTTTCATTCAATCTAGGAAGGGCAACATCAAGGTAAAAACGCGCGGTGGTGGTCATTGCACAGTGAATCGCTTAGAGCGTGACGCAGCACATCTAGAGAAACACTTTTCCATCGCAATGTCGAAAACGATGGATGACCGGAGACAAGATTCGCGTTTGTGCTCGATTTGTTTGTGCGGCAAATTCTAATTCCTGGTTGTTTTTCTGGATTGCGACTGATACTGCATGATGCGTTTGTCCTGTGATATTAATTCATTATTTTTCTTGTAGCTAAAGAGAGATTGCCTAATTAGAAGGGCAGTGTCAAGTTTTATCCAACTCGGTCAACGCTGTATCAAAACAGGTTAATTAGGTTTAAATTGAATTTCCAGTTTTCATTCACGTTCCCCACCCCGAATTTTCATTTTCCGGGTGACCTCTTGTTGACCGAATATACGATGTCAGTTTATGGCTGCAGTCGTTAGCTCGACAGTTAATGTACTATAATTTCGACGTGCACTGCCTTAAGCCCATATCAGTGGCTCGTTCCGTTTGGTCTTGAGTTTTTCTCAAGGCTCTCTCTAAGACTGACGTAGGATTTCGTCCCTTCACTCAAATATTTTGTGCATTATTGGCACCAAATTTGTTAAACCTTGACAAGAAACGAAGTAATACAGAGCAGCGACTCTTGGGATAGTAGTACACTCCTAAGAATTCCACCTCAACCTAATCAAAACCTGCGGTTCGATCTAAAATGGAACACTATTACGCTAGTTACACGGGCGCCGTTAACTGCACTAAAGTCACCCTTAATTGCAGTTACACTTAACCATAAGTTAACACAGTATACTCTGGGAAGAGTGCGCGTGCACAGCTTTGATGGACGCTCAAGGTGCTTGAGCACACGTGTACCCACAGCTTTTACTGCACAGAGTTGTTCAAGAGTATATTGCGGTGACTGTCATTCAGCGTAACCTGTTTGCCCGTGTAACCAGGGTTTCACATGTGAACTTGCCTCTCGAGACAAGCACCAGGAACCAAGTAACATAGCGAAAAAGGGTGAGGCACAGTCGAGCTTGCATGGCAAAAAGAAAAAGAAAACGACCGGAGGGGAGGGGAGAAAACTAGGTGCCGTTTGAACAATCCTTACATAATGCAGCCCAGTTCTGCGCGTTTCGGAGCGTTCCAGGAAATGCGTTTCCGTCCCGATAACTTCCTTCTCCGTGGCCGTCGGGGGACAAAGAAAACAACGTTGCATCTGGGACAGCACACGAGGACCGACCACCGGAGTACATTTCGCCACACCACTTCCGACACATTCGGGCCGATTCGCTCTCTAAAACAAGCTTCCTGCGTGACGTTCGGATCGTAATCACCGACGGCACGTCCCCGTGTCTCCTCGGAGGTGATTCGCGTCAAAATTTATTCGACCGTTTGGACAGGAGTCGTGCGTAACTACGCAAGAGGTGATGTGCCTCTATACGCTCCCTGGCCTCCGATCGCTTATACTAGTTGCCACTGACGCTGTGACAGCATCCCGCGGCCACTTCCGCCAGAACAGAAAACCGGAATGAGTAGCGTTCTCTCGCTCGGGCTTTTTTTTTTTTTTTCTCAGAGCCTTGGAGGACTTTCTTTCCCTCTTCTTACGAAAACAATACAAACGAAAATACATGCAGTAATCAGGATCCGTATTGGCCATACTCAGTTACGATTTGATAGAGCCAATCAAACAACGAAAAAAGTGCATCGCCACAATACTCGTCGCTTTTTGGGGGTTGGACATCACCAGCTGAAAACCAGTCACGCAGATTTAAAAAAAAAAGCGAAGGACGATGAAAAGTGACAAATCAAAGCATGCACGACTAAGCATAATAACACTATGCACTTTGATATTTTATCGATGCAAAATATCCTACACATAGGATTATTCAAGTACATGGTCTATGGGAAAACACGCACCGTCTATTTCCACGATCAAGCAACATATACTAAACCATGGAACATCGTAAACATTCCTAATAAAACTAAAGTTTTTTTGTTTGTTTTTTTACAGCAGATTTTACGTATTTTTATCGGTTTACCCCCGAACCGATGTACCACCATTCCTCTTTCGACTTAAGTAGCTTTATCGCTCGAAGCAATCACTCAGTCCCCTATATACACGAGCGCCGCATTTAGGTGATCACTATCTCTCCACGGTATCAATCGTCCCGTTTACCGTGAATAGTCAAATCGGCACAAACCTTTTTCGGCATGAGTGATTTGAAGCAGAACGCGTATCGACGCTTTCTCTCAAAGGACTTCCTCATTCGCGACCG